TATTATATTTTCCATAAGTGTATCGATCCTCTGCTGTATCAATTATTGTTAACTACTTGTCTTGTAGCGCTTCTTCTGCCTAAATAATTCAGTAGGCATCCAGTGTGTTATTGGATGTATGAAATATGTGTGTGTATGTGTGTGTGTGTGTGTGTGTGTGTATGTGTGTGTGTGTGTGTGTGTGTGTGCGTGCGTGCGTGCTTTGGTTTGGCTCTAATCAAAGAACAGGGAGCAGAGTGCTGCCTGGAGAGCAGTGAAGCATGACAACACACACCTGGTAAGCTGCTTATCACACTTTAATTTCACATACACTGAGATCTGCGGATGCCAGCGTGACCAAACAGATGTGTGTGAGCATGTTTGCGTGTGTGATCATGTACATGTATGTATATATGTGTGTGTGTGTGTGAGTGGTAAATACACTTGTGTTTAAAGTACTACAAAGATAGAGCAACTGATAAATGCAGAGAGAAGAGGGTGCAGATTAAAAGAGATACTGACGCAAAGAACAAAAGAAAAAGATAAGGGAGGAAATACAGCGGCAGTAGGCTTGGGAGAGTTGGAGCGATAGACAGAGAGGTAGGAGATATGAGGTTAAAATCTAAATGGACTGGGAGTGAAGCGTGGCCTGATGAAAAGAGGGAAAGAGGGAGGAAGGATGGATCGGGGGGATTAGGTGTGAAACAAGGACAGTTGTATTAATTACTACAGTAAATTTTGTGTGTGTGAGGATGTGCAGTTATTTGTGAATGTGTGCAGTTTTGAAAGGTGCATGTAAGCATGTATGTGGGGACTGTCAGCACTGTCTGTGAGTGTCCCTGAGGTGAGAAAGCTACTAAACGGAAATGAGAGAGTAATATCATAAAATTTGTAAGTAGGTTAAATTATCTGAATGCTGCCACTTGTTTTTTCATTCAACATTTTAAAAATATAACTAATTTGTTGCATTTTTATTCCAATACAGGCAAATTCTTAATGGAAAACAAGTCAGAGCTCAACAAAATTTGAAATTTGAATTGGCTTACATACCAGCTCACATTACACTAACAGGTACATCATTACATCATGTTACTGGGACATTATTAATAAATCTGTCCGTAATACAGTAATACAAAGTCTGCTCCAAAGAAAATGAACAAAATGACGTAGAAATGAATAAAGGACGTTCTGTATAAATCTTACAGTGAAAACGCTCCCCTCATCACCATTCTGTCTGCACTATACCAGTTAACGTTTTGTCCAAGCATGTATGGGAGATGTCATGTCCTAATGGTTCTCCTTGAAGAAAAGTTTTACAACCCTGAGACCATCCCCCTGAATTTGTTGACGAGAGGTTGAGCCCTGACCTCTGACCTAAGACACACACTGACAGCTGACTGCCACCCCCTCCAGACTAACGAGACACGCATGACCCAAAACTATTGTGCTTCCAGTCCCTTAAACCACAGATGAACCTATGTGTGTAATGAAAATCATCCTAGCAATGCAATGTACGTATATAACAGGTCATTTGTGTAGATATTTCAAGATCTAGCGGTTCCTCCAAAGATATGTGAAAATAATGCAGTAAATAAAAGTTATTACTTTTTTTCTCTCCTTTTTATTTTGTTATCTGTCCTGTCCTGTCACCTCACTGTGTATTCCTCTCATCATTCCATTTTGGTTCTATATACAGTCTATGGTTGCAACACCTGCATGCGAATGAGGAAATAAATTCTTAAATGCAAATAAGCAGTGATATGTGATGGCTAAACATGAGCTCTTTCATGTGGATGTGTCCCAGGGGGAATCTCTCCACCACATCTAATACACCAAAACATCTGTATGCTACAGTGGGACCGGCTAGTGGTTCCACTGATGGATTTCTGCCAGCGTGACTAATATAAGGCATCTTTTTCTCTCTTTATTCTCCGTCTTTCTCTCCCTCTATTCATCTTGTGCTCCCTCTGTGCTTTGCTTTCCCATTCTGTGTCCAAATTAAACACAAGACACGGGACACTCTGATAAGTCCATCTGTTCATCTCTCTCTCTCAATCTCTGTCCTTTTTCCTCCTTTTCCAATCTGACAGTCTACTGCCCCTGCTGAAGTTCTATAGTGGGGGACATGGTATACGTGGTATAGTTTCTCTGCATCTCTGTGTGTGTTTCTCTCTCTCCCATTCATTCATCTACTGGCTGATGTGAGTTTCTCTTAGTGAGTGACAGACGGAAACAGCCAGAGGCCTCTGTAGCACTAAATTTGTCACCAAACCTTAATTGCTTGGCCATGGGTGTAAGAGAATCAGATCTGTATGAATGTGTGATGCTACAGTTCTATTAAAGTTGTATGAGGTGCCTGACTTTCCACCATTTCCTGCAATTAAGAGTGATCCAAGGCTACCAAAGCACACGCACATATACACACACACATCTCGTAACCCTTGCCCCACGGTGAGTCCACGATTGGACTATGAAAATGAGTTTGTGAGAAACTAATCATCCAGCTTAACAAGTGGAGCCGGGGATAGGGAGAGAGGGGGAGGAGATGGAGGGGATGGGGGTGTGAAACGGTCAAAAAGGTCAACTAATCAAGAGGAGGGGAAATGAGACGAGGAGTAGAGGAACTGCTTTGGTGGTGGTGGGGGTGGAGAGAGAAGGACTGATGTTGAGAGGAGGACTAGGAAAAGGGTTACCATAAATGACTGTGAAATGAGAATCTGAGGAGGAAGCGTGAGTGTGCAGCGAGGGGGAAAAAAACGAGAAAAAGACAGCAGGAAGGGAAAGGGGGGAGGATGAGAGAGGAATATCATGAAGAGATTTTAGAGGGGAAAAGGAGCGAGTGATGAAAGGGTTGGGGGGTAGTGAAGGGAACATTCTGTAATATTCTACTGGTGCGGAGAATGTGGAGGACGTGAGGGGAGGAGTTGAACGTAGGACAGAGTGGATTTGAGGGGAGAAAAAAAGAGAGATAAATTGGAATGAGGGAAGGCAGAAAGCGAAAAGAATGGGACAATGGGAGGATGAGTGAAAGAGAGGGAGAAATCCTCTAAAGTCATTTCTAGATCCTGTCAAATAAGGCAGCTGCCAGGGAGTAGGAGGAAGAGGAAGACTCACAGGACAGAGGAATGGTATAGACAGGTGGCGGAAAGTGACAGCAGGGATAAACCTTCGAAAAGATAAAGGGAGAATAGGTGTTGCACTGTGCAGAGGCCTCCACGCTAAAATAAATGCAGCAAAGTTATTCATTGGAGATATGAGATGTTGATTTATTCTTTGAAAAAAAAAATCTAATTTAACATTTCAGATCAAAAACGTTATTAAAAGAATTAAAAAGAAAAGAAAAGGAGTGAGAAACAGTGGGTGCTTTGAATAGATTGTGGAAAACTGCGTACAATGCCTCCATTAATTGTTATTAATCAACCAATGAATTGGACTCTGACAACAAGCTCTTTTTTAGATATTTTTTCCTGTTGTTGTGATCTTCTTTTGGCTCCAATTGGACAGAACAGCTCTTTCTCAACAGGGTAAAGCAGGACACTCAAGGAAAGCCATCTGCAGAAACAGTAATGTTGCTCACTAATAGTTGAGACCTAGCACATAACAGATCCACCCTCATTTCAGTACTTTTCTTCCTCAGGGGAGCAGTGCTTTTGATTGTTGTGTGCCAGCTTTATAGTAAATTTGGACTGCTAATGAGTATCCTCCCTGAAAATGATTCCTCCTGTGTCCACAATATTGGAAATTCATGGCAACTACCTTTTCATAATGCAGGCGTTTAGATAATAAAGTAAAGTGTTTGTGGGATGAGTAAAAAAAGGGTGACACGAAAGAGCATGTGAAGACACAGCAGACAGTGGAAAGGTGATTTGTGTAGAAAGGTCAGACCCCTCAGCAGGCACTGGATTAATGTCATTGTTAACAGGCTTTGTTTACATGTAAATGTGTATGTATGAATGCAGAGGCATTTCCCAGTTGCATGGAAAACGCATGCATGATTGCAATATGTATGTATGTAAGCAGGGATTTATGCTGGAGTGTGTCAGAACATTTCCCCTCCCCCCCAGAGCCTTTTCTTCAGGCTCTCCTCCAACCATTTTCTCACAGAGATCTTATCAGTGGCCCTGCTTGCGGAGAAGGTGCAGGAGCTGAAACTCTGATCAGTGAGAGAGCGACAGAGAATGAGATAGAGAAAACCTCAGAGATGGTAAAGGTACACACGCTATTCTGTTAAAACTATTGTTAATCCAAGTTTAGATAAAGCTATAGGGAATTATCATCCCTACAAAATGTAAATTACTTTCACAGCTCTGTGTCAGGGCTGGGTGGTTGTGCACACCACTTTTGGTCTAAGAAATAGGTTAAAATTACAAAATGTTCCAAAACAGTTACTGTAAAATCCATTGTTAACTGCAGCAGAAACCAGGTCAGAAAGAAAAAAAAGGGAGCGCCGGAGAGGTACAGCCTATGAGACAGACACAGATCTCACAGTGCCCCATCCATAATGAACAGTGTCCTACCCCTGCCCAGGCGCAGCACACGATCCCTCACTAGAGACTGAGGGGGACTGGGATGAGACAAAGGGGAATGGCCACATTAATTACACACACTCTCTGGGCGGGAGCTATCACCGGAGGCTAACAGAGGGACCGACAGAGAGATGGAGGGACAGGGAAAGACAGAGAAATGGAGATGATGATGTTCACTGAGTACCCTATGTGTCTCTGGTAAGGGAGGGGGTGTTTGTCCTTAGGAGCAAGACGCCTGCTGGCTGTTATGTTATGTTGTGTTGTGTTATGTCACAGTGTTTCTAATGAGAGTGGAGCATCCGATAAGATAGACACACACTGTGTCTTGTGTGTGTGTAGACAAGGTAGCTGGCAGCGGCTGTGTATGTACGAGGGGAGGGGGCTGTGGGCAGTGATGTGAGTGTACATGCAAGCTTGTGTGTGTTGTTGCACAAGTGTGAATTGTGCACCGTCTGGGGACACATGTTAGTGTGTATGTTTTGGATTTGTACTTACCCCTGGTAATGTCTTCTGCTCATGTAGAGCACTCTGGGCTTTCAGTGCCGACTCTCTCGCACAGTACGTCAGGAACGCACATCCTGTCAGACGGAGAGAGAACCAGAGAAAGAGAAAGAAAAGGGGCGAAGGTAGAAAAGTTCAGTGAGAAGCTTTAAAATGTGTCATTCTCTATCTGTCTCTATATCACTTCCCTTATAGAAATACACCATTCAAATAATTTTAACATGATCTTTCTCTGATACCTGCCCTGATTACTTGTCACCTACTCTGAATTTTCACCAGGCTGACTGTGCGAGAGGATTAAATATATAAATAATCATGCACTGTAGCTGTACTTGACAACACCATGATGATGCACTCAAGAGCAGAGAGAGACACTCCACGGCACAGCACATTTCAGAACGGCACGGCACGAGTCAGCACACGACAGCACCACAGACGTGCGCTGGGCTAACAAGGCCTCACGGGCTGGGAACAGTCAGGTTCCTGCCCGATACCAACCACTATGCATGCCTCACGATCACTGAAAATACACTCCCTCTGTTTTCCTACGTGCTGTACCTGTGTCTGTGTGTGTGAGGGAGGGGCAGGTAGTAGAGCTGGCTGGCCAGAGCTGTTTACTACACCTGTCACCGGCACTAAGACAACAAGATTAGCAGCAGGTTAGCATCCTGGTGACATCTCATAGAGACTTATGTAGATTCAGAGTAAAGAAGAGAAAATTTGACCATTAGGAAGGAAACATTCACACAGAGTTTACATGTAAAGAAATGAGAATGACTCAACATAATTCAAGAAGGTTAATAAAACACACACAGAAAGACAGGGCACACTAACAGGAGAGCACACAATACACACGTACAGACACACATGCATGCATCTTATGGCCCATCTCATTGCTTTTATGAGAGGCTTACTCCGAGCGTGGGGATTCTCAAAACAACTGATTCTTTCCCCTGTGTAACCCAGGCTTACAGTCCCATTACACTGATTGGAGCGTACAGCCTAATCTGGTTCATAACACACAGGACCCCAAATCAGCGTGTGTGTGTGTGTGTGTGTGTGTGTGTGAGTGAGAGAGAGAGAGAGAGAGAGAGAGAGAGAGAGAGAGAGAGAGAGAGAGAGAGGGGGGATGTGTTTATTTGCTACAGTATTTTTCTTATCTTTTGTTAGAAGTGGCCATAATCTAAAAGCTCATTATGGTTTAGGAAGCTCTACACTTATTAAAACATATATCATAAACCTATAAGTCACACCTTGAAATATATTAGTCTATGGAATATAAACAGGCATGTTTACAAATTTACATCTATTTCTATAAAGGCATCCAGGTTCAATCATACCCATGCATAAAAGCTCTTTTGATACAAGAGGTAACTGAGTTTGTTCTTGATCCCACATTGCTGTGTTAACAGAAGATGAAGATGAGAGGAGGTGTGACAGTTTCCATGGAGACATGTGACACTCAGCGCAGGAAAATCTACCCATTTATCCACCTTACTGTCACATGTCTATCTTTCTGGTATCTGCTATCTGTCTCTCTATTTGTCTTTTTGTCTGTCTGTGTTTAGCCTGTGTTATAATGACAAGACCTACCTTTGTGCATGCCAGTGTATTTGTCCTTAATCACAGTTAGCTCATAGATCTTGCCAAACTGCTCGAAAATGGGCTTGAGGTCCTTTTCTTCTAGATTCCGGGGAATCTGCCCCACAAACAGCTTGATGGCGTCTGCCTCCTTCATTGGGACAGAGTGGAGAGGGCGACTGGGTACTGCAAGAGCCGAGCGGCAAACAGATCAGGAGCAGGTATCCCTGGAGAAGAGGAGCAACTGATGCTGGACCAGTCTTTGGGTCACAGTGGAGGTGGAGACAAAAAGAAAACAGAGGAAGACCTTCATCAAAAATCCCAATAATAAGATTAATTTAGTGCCTTGAGGTACAAAATAAACTGATCATAATTAATACACTTAACATATTTTAAAACTCTTATGGTATCACGATCATTATCATTGTATTCCCTTGGGGGCTTATGTGTATAAATGACATATATAATAATATTACAATATTTTAGCTGTAAGGTTAAAAAATTAAGAATATAAAACATGACAAACACGAAACCTTGATTAACAAAATGTATGTGCTCTTACTTTAAAAAATATGTTCGCGATTATGTAAATAAATGTAAAGACAATCAGCGATTAGCGTGATTATTTTGAGTATTTATTGCCCAGTGTGATGACAAAGGGCTCCAGTGGCTTCTGGCAAAACAATTATGCAAATGTTAATTAGCCAATCAAAAAACAATAATGGCAATTTCGCCCTGAGTAAAAAATAAATATAATATCTATAAAAAAAATCGTAGGTGCGTGTATATGTAAAATATGTTTTGATGAAGACATTGCGTTTAGGATTATTGCACGTAAAAAGAGAAGAAACGGCGTGAATGGGGGTAAATCATTGCTATGGAGCGGTTTCTTTGTTTAGCCAGCTGTAGGTTACAACATACACACGGATGTCATGGGGCTCCCTTGCTCTTTGTCCGATCCCCCCCCCCTCTCAATGTACACACACACACACCATCTTCCACACTTTTGCGGCCACCAGAACAAAACCACACAGTGAAATACGCACGGAGCTCTTACCGTGTGCAGATGTTGCTTCTGGGCAAAGTGTTGCCTGAAACGAGGGATGCTCTCCTCCGTCAGGTCCCCGTTGTTGTCCTCCCTCGGTGCCGTCCTCCTGCCTCCCCTCTCTGGATGCTCTTTGTGCCTGGCGTGCTACTCTCCCTCTCCTCCTGCTCTTCGCCACACTCACACTATTTACACTGGGCTGTGTGTTTTCTGTCTTTGCTAAATAAGAACCCCGGGGTCCAGCTCTGGAGCTCTGGAGGTCTGGAGGTGGCGGAGGAGAGAGTCCGGGCAGCAGGTGAGTCCAGAAATCACGGCTTGTCACCGGCGCCTCTGAAACCTCTCTACGCTTTAAACGCCCCTGTGTTTGTAGCTAGCTAGTTTGTTATCACTTTCACGTTAGCCCACTATTTAAACTCCTATTAAAAAGTGCTAACTAACTAACTAACTAACTAAGTAACTAACTACCCGGGGCTAACTTCCAACTATGGGAACTCGCTCGCGCTCTTAGAAACGGCCTCTGTCGGTGTCAGCGTCGCTGTTCCGGTCGTTTCACGGAGGCTCTTCGGATGTTCTCGCTAAATCTGGTGGTTCTTGCGGGTTTCCTCTCGGCGTCTCTCCCCTCTGACGGCTGCTTGGCTTCTCACGTCCTTTACCGTATCTCCCCTCCTCTCTCTCTCCCCCTCCTCTCTCTCGCTCCCCCTCCCCCTCCTCGCGCCGAAGCGGTCGCTAGCTGCCTGTGACGTAACGGCCAGGGACCGTCGCTAACCACGTGCGCCGCACTCACGCGAAAAAACCATTACAAACTCGCTTTCCCTCACTCACTTAACCACAATTCACAGCTGATGCTATTAAACCCAACGCTACATTTTTTCTCCATATTCACGATGTGAATTTTCATCAGTTTTCGTCGCTTTGCCTGAGTGACCGGAAATTGTCAGACGTTGCCTAGGCGACTCGGAGCCGCCTATTGTTCTGGCCGCGAGCCCTGGCCTTGGTGCTGAAAAGATGCCTCCTGACGTGAAGCCGGGTGCGCGCCGCCGCCGCGCACCCAATCACGACTACTACAGCTGTTCACGCCCGATCCCGCAAACACACTCTCACACCCACACGCACACAGTCAAATTTGTGACAGAGGGAAGCAGCGATGGCTCCGGGTTGGAGTTGGCCTACTTTACATCAGCCTGGACTGTGTGCGTAAAGACAGGAGCAGTTCCCGGTGTCACTTCACAGCACTATCTCAGGATGATATATTTAAAATGTGCGTGTCTGTGCGTGACCAGAGTTTTGGGAAGCGCGACTGAATGCAGAGAGGGAGTCAAAGGGTTCGTGGTAATTTACTCCCAAAGGTCACCATCTGCCTGCCTTGCCTCGTGCACTCTTGTGAGCACACATACATGCACGCACGCACATGCACACGCGCGCACACACACATGTGCATGCATATCACCACTCCAGGGGCTTCTTGCAAACCCAGACGTGGCACGCAACGCCCGCTGTGCCCTGTAGATGTGAACGGTGTGCAGGAAGCGGGAATCACGCCACCGGCACGATGAAGAACACACAACGCAGGGAAGCTCTGTATTACTCAGCTTTTTTTTTTTTCAGAAGCAATGCAGCCATGAAACTCATTCCATCAGACTGAAGGTTGAATCTTATTTGAAAGGCATATTACAGATATAGTTTTTTGAAACTCCACAGCTGAAAGTATAGATAATTTTAAAGCAATTATTGCTGATTTATGGTCAATGCTTTAATAAAAATCCCCTTTCGCCAAAAAGCTCATATTCTGAGCAAAAGCTGCATTGAGATCATTTTCTAGAAACACCTGAGTTCTTATCTGTCAGCTGGACCTGAAGTCCTGCTATTTCCCCAAAATGTGGAGATTGCATTCTACAGTTGAATGATGGATATTTTACAAGCTGCTTCATATGTTGATATGTTTGAATGAGCCTACTTTCATTAGTATTACTACACATCAGTTTACTTATTAAAATGTAGCCATTTCTGTCTTAGGAAATACAATTTACTAAAACTCAATTGAACTCTTATGTATGAAGAATCCAAATACTATACTAGAGGTAAAGGATTTCACCTGGGAGACTTGGCCTCATGACCAGTGTGTTTGTAAACCAGGTGATGAACCAGGCCTTCTAAGCAGCGTTTATACAAGGCTGCTATGACCTTTACATTTTCAATCTCCTCTCCCCTGCTTTCACTTTGTCTTACTGTTGACCTTACTCATCACACTGCTTCTCCTCCAGCCTCTCACTCCGACAGCGAAACATAACTGACCTTTCTCAACCGGGCAAAATTTGAAATAATCTCCTTGAAAAAATTCACGTGGTAACACAATTTTCACATCGGGCATTTTAACATCACACCGCACATAAAAAGGCCTCACAGGAAATGTAATTATTTAAACAATAGCTTTGTTTGTTTCATGTCTTTCAGGCCCCATACTATTTATTGAATGTAAAACGATCTGACTTAATTTACTGCATTGTTTTGGGTGTCTTTCTTTTATGAAACAGACAATGTCAACATAATATGTAATAAGAGATGAAATAACACAAAACATAGTAAATAAATCAACTATGCAACTGGCCTCAATGCGAATTTGACACCAAAACAGACATTAATCCTGTAGAAGATACATTTCTGTGTACAACTGGGCCTGGTCCAGTATGAGACTCAATGGCGCCATCATTTGGATGAAACTGGCAACATCAACCTCAGTCAATGGACAAAAAGAACACACTGAAAAAGCTGCTGGCTGCACGTTGTTTCAGTTTTATTTAAAATGTAGGTTTTTCATTTAATAATTTTTCCACACTGCTTTTTGTTTTCGCATGATAAAAAATGACCGGGTAACAATAAAAACAATCTCATAAACTCTGATGGTGACAAAAAAAATTGCTACAGCCCCTTAGAAGAAGAAAATAAATTACATGTTCTTTAGATAATAGATAAATTACTATCGTTTCTTTTGTATAAAATGTAATTTTCACTACGAAGGATTAGAGACAAGAACGACACATTCAAAGCCACAATCGCAAAAAGAACAAAAAAAACAACAACCATTCATTCACACGCACAGACACATACACAAGCACACAGACACATACACAAGCACACACACACACACACACACACACACA